ATTATTATTATTATTATTATTATTATTATTATTATTATTATAAACTATCCGTCCGGCCACCTTCCCAATACTTAAATAAACAGAAGAACATAAATAAAAGTTATAATAATAATGTTCCCATTATTGTTTAACAGTGACCAATGTACGTGCAGAAGAGAATAATTCTTTAGAGCAATATAGAAAAAAATGTAGATTTAGATCTTGTATCTCCTGCTATGGCCAGTGAGACCATTTCTAGCGTTGAAGAGTTTGCCACATCTTGAGCATTTGAAAGCTTCATTTCCACTTTAGGATGTGCGCAGCTTGCAGGCTTCTCTCTTGGCTTCAAGAATTCTGATTTGTGGAGCTTAATATGGTTTCTGCCTTGTGTGATTACTGCTCTCCACCTGAGTCTTGTCGGGAGTTAGGCTCTCCCACGTTAATAGATTAATATGGAATTTCATCAGATACATTGGTCTTTGAAGTGCTATTTTGGTGCGCCAAACTTAAAGCTTCCCTGAGGACAGCTCAAAATAGAATATTGCCTTGGGGATTCTAAAATCATAAACTCTTACGACATAGCCAGCTCAGCTAAGTTGAGAGTCCTTTTGAGCATAGACATTAATAGTAGGGAAACCAGAAAGTAGAAAAAATAGCATCAGAACTGAAGTGGGCAAGAGAAAGCGGTCGTGTGGAGGTGGAAGTTCTGTTTGGAGTGGCAGAAATGTATTTTCTGCTCTACTTGGGCAATACAACATCGGCAAAACAGGTGATATAGCTTTAAACGAACAGGACTTAAAACGATAGGTTAATCTTGATAGACAATTGATAGGACAAATGGTTTTTGGATATTATTTATAAGCCACGTAAACGGGAGGTAGGATCCCACAGATGAAAATGGCAAAGGCAATACCATAGAGACTGAACTGAGAACATTTAAAGCCAATGAGTAACCCTCAATGTTACTCACACAATACACGCCTGAGGATGTCCACACACCTACACAAGCACACACATTCACACAAAGCAAATACCTGCAATATGATATATATTATTATAATGTATGTGTGTGTGTTTGAGTTTACAAATAGATAGATAGATAGATAGATAGATAGATAGATAGATAGATAGATAGATAGACAGACAGACAGATAGATAGATAGATAGATAGATAGATAGACAGATAGATAGATAGATAGATAGACAGATAGATAGATAGACAGATAGATTTTTTAAAAATTAGATGAGAGAAAATAAAAGCAAAATAAAAACGCCGAGATAAGCAACGAGTTATTGTCAATTCAACGGTTACAGTTGCGTTTATCATAACGAGAGTGGTAGCTTACCTGGCAAACACTTTACGGCGCAAAGTTCTCGTCAAGTGAAGTCCGACTCAATTCAGTCTCCACACCACACCAATGTTGTGATTGATTGACAAACACAGAACAAACCTGCGTTATATACCCAAGTACCCGAAACCCTCCAACACGAAAATGTCGCTTGTTGAATACAGCAGCGGAAAGATGACCGCTGAGAGCAAATATCACAGGCATTTCGTCACAACCTGTGTGTCGCTCATGTCTTTCAGACGAAAGGGATTAGCTGTGGCAGGTAATGGTTTTAAGGTTAAAACCTGATTGTTACGATTTAGGAAAGGATCGGAAAAGGACTTTGTCCTTTGTGGGATGGCGAAATAGGCGTCAGTAAGACGTGAAAGGCAGCAATTAGAGTAGAGAATGAGAAAGTCAGTTCAGAGGATAATTAACGACTTGACAGATAGGCACGAGCTGGGCCTGGTGGAAAATGGCAGTAAGTCGTCACTGGAGGAAGTAAAGTGATGTAAGTCGACCACAGTAGACGGATTAGGGACAGATGGGTGAAGCGGAGGAAGAGGGGGTTGATTTATTACGATTTTAATTCGTGTAGGGAGAAGTACATCGACAGAATAGCAGTCACGTTGTGTTATGTGTTTTAGTTAGCTTGAGTTAAGAGAAGTTTATGGGAGGCAGAGGGGTGGAATCAGGCTCTTTTAATATATATATATATATATATATAGACAAAGAGAGAGAAAGAAAGAAAGAAAGAAAGAGAGAGAGAGAGAGAGAGAGAGAGAGAGAGAGAGAGAGAGAGAGAGTGTGAGTCAAAGCAGAAACAACCAGATGTGCTTCTAGTTAAACCACCAGATATTTTAGCTGAGAGCAAGATTGATTAAAAAAAACGACAAAGAAAGAGTAAAGAAGTCAGACCAACTTGTAGCACCCTTCAACCAATTACTATCCACAAAGAATGCTGGAGAAGGTGATTGGGTGATTAGGAAAGGAAAACACAGGGTAACTAAAGCCAACCTTGCCAAAGATGTGTGAGCATTGTTTTTTTGTTTTTTTTTGGCCAGCAGAAGATTTTCTCTGTCTGCAATAAGTAAGCGGTGAATAGTGTGATGGTTTGTTATTCACATTCTGTAGTGTGAGAAAAAGGTCTGGTACAGGGTCATCTACTTTCTAAAGGCTGTCTCAAGGTGAACATATAAAGCACATATTGTATACGGCTCATAATTATTCAAACGACCTCACTGTATTGCATATAATTAAAATTGTAAAGCGAATAAAGCTTGCTGCTTGGCGGAGATTTGCACTATAACAACTGCTATATATTATTATTACATAGAGATATGTAAGAATACGAGTTGACAATATGTGAGGCAGCGTGGTGGAATCAGGCTCTTGTCAAAATAATCAAAGTGAAGAAACTGGCATTTTCCCGCAAGTTTGGGAATTTCTATCGAATTTTTTTTTTGGCTCAACACCTTTCATCCCATTAAATAACACAAATATGTGTGGATTTTACTGAAAAACGCTGTTTAAAGGCATAATAGATGAACATTTTCAGTTTCCACGGACTCTCAAGCTTTATAAATAACAGAACTTAGGTGGGCATTTTCTCACTAATTTTACCTCTGAAAACAAGTGACCCCCACCTCCTTTTTTCGCAAATATCTCAACTTGTATTCAAGATAAATGGATATTTTTTTTCATCCAAATAAAGACAAGTGAACAATCTTTAAGATGATACCAATAACTCTACCTGCCCAAAATTTGACGAGAGCCTGATTCCACCACGCTGCCTCACATATATTTGGCAATAACGTTACAAAGAGGATTGTTAAAAATTTTTGCAAGACACAACACTTTGTCGATGGATCCTCAAAAAATAAATCGTACAGAAAAGATAGGATGTAGGAAGACATTTGTTATGTCAATCTTGAAAGACAGAAATAAATGGAAGAGTGCCCGCCCCATGTGAGTTGCTGCTCTTTCTGAGAGAATTGGGGGCTGTTTCTTCACAGTAATCTTCCAGGGGTCACTCAGACAGACATATGTGTATGAATATTTATACACACACACACACACACACACACACACACACACACACACACACACACACACACACACACACA